AGCTGTATCACTTTGGATATGTTGGTAGATTGGAATCGCATCTCGAGTGCGGTCCAAATTTTGGACGTGGATTCGAGATGGATGATGTATGGTAGAACGGACTGCGAGATTGTAGAACACAAGGCCGCTGCAAGATTCTGATTTGTGAGTAGCCATTGTGTGTATTTTGGATTCGGAGCTAGAGAGTTGTCAGATTGCCGACATTGCTTGTCGGAAGTGGGAGAGAGGGGATCAAGAAATTTCTCAAACCCGTTTGCGCGAAAAAGTTTGATGATCTGAGAACGCCACAACGAGTAGTTCTCAGTGGATAGCTGCGTTGGTACGATGCTTTTCAGATTCGCCACCACGAATTTCAGAGACGATGGAATGAGCACCTCTTCGGGATTCACCGTGTCCAGGTTTTCATCGAGTTGAGACGTCGCTAAGTTAGCCATTTTTGTGGAGCTTCGTTTCACGCCCGTTCTGATACCATGAGGAATGGAGGTTTCTTGTAAGAGCAGAGGTCCTTGAAAGAACCCAGGAAGAAGATAAAGACCCGAATAGAAAGAGCAAAGTAATCTTTTATTATCTTCAGTCAGATACAGTGCAGTGCTATATATAGAATTCCTAGCTTCACACCTATAAGAAGCTAACAACATGATATTACAAGTATGCCATTGTAGTTAAACTAAATATATTATCCTTTGTCCTCTAACATTACAGATACTTTATTTTATGGTGTAAATATTCATTACAAGATTTATAAACTTCCTTTTAAAAAAAAAATGATTGCTAGCAAGCATGGACTACAAGTCAAGCCAAGGTACTATGGTCATGTTGCACATAAATCCTCATGTTATAGAACATTCACGGATAATACAAAATACAAATGCACTAAAAGCCTTTGAAACTCTTCTAATTTTTGTGTTAACAATCTTTTGGATACTGGACGCTATTAGCATTCTTCTTACCAAAAGCTTTATTTCATTACAATTATTTTCTACCTATGGAAAATATTATTGGTAATTGAGAAGCATTTTCTGCTTGATCTAGCTACAAAGTGATTCTAATGCTGAACATCCTAAATGACTTTATAAAACTTGTATTGCAGCAAGTCCATTATTGATCTCTATTTGAGTTCCAAATTTTGGCAGCAGAGCGAGAAGATAAGAAATGTGGAATACCGAATACCTTGCTGATTGTGAGTGTCCACTGGCCAGTGCGGCAGTGTCGGCGAGTAACGCCTGCAGTCCTGCGGGCAGGGGCCGTCGTCCGTCGACGTCGAATAAGCGACGAAGCCCGAAGGTGGAAGAAGAAGTGACGAAGGTGAAAGGCACTAGGCAGAGCCGTCGGCATCGAAGGCGGTCTCTCGCTCGCGGCTCGCCATAGAAGAGAAACGGGGTCAGAGGCTCGGAGCGATTGTGCGGGAATTGGGATGAATGGGAAAGACGGCGAGAGCAACCGGTTCGAATAGGGCAAAATAAATATTTTAAGGGTGAAAATTACAAAAATGGCCCTCATATGAGTTTTTTTTTTTAATATTGCACCCGAGCGTCGGCGCAACGACCCTTGCCCATTAGTTATTATATTCAGGTCATCCCCCCTTCAAACATGAATGTTTCCCCCGTGAGTAAGGTTGGGGAGGCGACGGGCTGATAATGGTAGCAAGAACTTACAATAGTTGTGACATATAATTTATAGTGTATTTAAAAATTAATCAAATATAATAATTTTCAAATACACTAAAAATGCACTGAATGGTAAATGCACAATACTCTAAAATTTTACAATGTATTTCTTTTACTTATGAAACGCTGATATTTTCAAAACTCCTTCATTTTAAATATTTTATAGCCCTTTACTTCAAATCAAGCAACCCCATAAGTTAATATATATTCCACATATTCTTATATAAGAAGAAAAAAAATTATGTTTGAATATCGTAGTACAAAACGGATCACAATATATTCAAAATTTTTGGATTTATGTTTTTTTTTTTATTTATATTGAGATTATTATTAATATCTTAAATTACATTAATTTTAATATAAATTTATCAGCTTTGAAGTCCATTTTAATATCTTTTGCATTAGGATACCCAAACATAATAGTTTTTTTTCATATAACCAGATATGAAATTAGCTCAATTTATGCTCGTCTATCAAATTTCTCTCATCTACAGTAGAGGTGTCAATATTTAATACAACCCAAAATTTTGAATCGAACTCAAAACGAAAATTTTAGGTTTGGGTCTTGATTTTCGAGTCGTTTTGAATTTTGGGTCCGGTTCGGATTGACCCGGAACCTCGAGAATGACCCGGTTTTGACCTGAAATCGTCCTTCACAGCTAGCAAACTCGAACAACAACAAAGGAACCAGTGAGCAAACTCTCGTCTGACCAAAAGGGAACGTCATCCAAGGAGTGAAGTCGAACAGCAGCAAACTCCCGTCGTTTCTTCCGATCAAAATGTTGCAACTTCTGATCCGACCAGAAGTGAATGTCGTCCAAGGAGCAAAGTCGAACAACAACGAAGGAGCTAGCGAGCTAACTCCCGTCGTTGCTTCTGATCAAAATGTTGCAACTTCCGATCTGACCAGAAGGGAACATCGTCCAAGGAGCGACGTCGAAGACCAATGAAGGAGCCAGCAAGCAAACTCCCGTCGTTCTTCCGATCTAAATGTTGCAAATTCCGACGACGAACTCACTCATTGTCACTATATGAGTCGGGTTCGAATTGGGTCGAACAAACTCGGATCAATTCCGGGTTTGACTCGAACCCGACCCATGACCCGATTTTGACAACCCTAATCTATAGCTTAATAATTTTTATTCATAGTAAATTAAAAAGTTTTAGTTGAAATTCATATAAACTTAAACAAAATTATATTAGAAATCAATCAATCTTCTAAATTCTACAAAAGTTTTATCATTAAAATCTCATTATAATATATATAATTTAAATCTCCATATAAAATAATATTTCATTTCATATCTTAAAATTTTTGAAATATTATTTATTACTTTATAAAAATAACTGAAATCCTAATTAAAATTGAATCCTAAAACCAACAAAACAATCAAACAAAAAAAAAAATCTAAAACTAAAATCCATTGAGATGCTAATTAATAAATAAAATTTTTAATTTTTTTAACATTTAGATCAATTAAAATAAATTCATACACATATAATCTATATAAAATTCGAATCTAAATCTTTTTAATTAATAGTCAAAATTCTCAATCACCCTATCAAAATAGCCGAGTTTATTATCAATTATGTGTTGGAAAAAAAATATTATTTCATGGCTCTCATCCCTAAGAGAATGTTTGCTGAGCCCATAATTATTATTTAAAGAAAAAGGAAGGAGAGAGAGAGAGAGCATTGGGAAGAGTAAAAGTAATAGCTTTACTCTTTAAAATATTATGCCAATATGGAAGATGAGATGGATGAATATATATGTACTGTTATTAGGTATATATGCTTTTTGTTTAAAACCAATCTTACTTCCATTAAATCTTCATTTAAATACTATTTTTTTCTTTTCAAATATATTAAAATAACCAAATTAATATAACATACACAAATATTGTTTGAAAAAAAAATGGGGCAATAAGATTAAAAAAATGCCTTAAAATATTGATTTAAAACATATTAAAAACTTAATTTTCAATTCTATTTTAAGTAATATATGATCATAGCTCAAATTTATAAGTAGGGATTCTTTGAAATTCATCACATAAATCTACTCAAAACTCTTTATAAAACATAACTCTCAAACTCTCATAGTAAACTTTCTTTAAGACACTTTGCATCTCACCTCGATCCATAAATTTTAGGGAAATGGAGCTTATATATATTGTGAAAACTTATTCACATAATACATTTTCTCCAATCAAAATAATATTAGCTAGGGTGTAAATGAGTTGAACCGAGCTTAAGTTTGGACAAACTCGAGCTAGGCTCACCTACTCAATGAACTCAAGCTAGAGCTCAAGCTCAACTAGCTAGAAAACCATCAAGCTTGAACTCAAGCTGTGAGCTCGATCAAAATTGCAATGAAAATTGGCTAGAGAATGATGGGACCTCAATGGAGATCAAACCGATGGGGGGTTGCTAGGTGTCAATGGTGTTGAGGAAGTTGCATTGGGAGCTCGCTGAAGCAAGAATGGACATGACAAACGACAAATAGACATAGAAGTTGCGATGAGAGTTTGTTTGAGAAAACAATGATGATACCAATGGTGGCTAATGAGGAGGACGAGCTAGGTGAGAACTCTTTGGAAAAAAGGCATATCATCAAGATCATTGCTGCTGATCGAAGAAGGCATAGATGGGACCATCACTAGAAAAGGCATCAACGAGTCTGACAATTTTTTTTAAATGAAAAAGAGTTCAAAATATACTTGTTGTTATCTACTTAGTCGGGATCCAATAGGAGTTGGGAAAAAACCAAATTTAGCCATGTAGGATTACTAATTAATTCAGCTCACAAGTGAATGAGCTGAGTCTCATCAAGCTTGAACTTAAGCTCATGTTTAATATACAAGTTCAAATCCGAGTTTAAATTCGACCTTGTGGCTCGATAAAAGTTTGAGCCGACTAAACACACTTACACCGCTAAATATCAAATATATTTTTTTTTTCCTCCCACACATTTATATCATGCATTTCTTACTTATCACATCTTTCACATAATTATTACAAATCTTATATATCATTAAAAATTTTCTTAGATTGAACTTGGCTTATTAGATCAATTTATTAAGCTTTATATCTAATGTAATTCCCAACAGTTATTTCTCATAAGATTTTCAATAAGAAATTCCTCAAGAACTTATGTTAAAGTAGAAGTACTTGACATCCTATAAGAGCACCATTGGTCAATTCAAGATCAATTTAAGATGAAATAACAGTGAACAAAATAATAATAACAAAACAAATCAGAAAATTAATAATTATATATAATCAAAATCTTAATAATATATCACCTATAAAATAATTAAAAAAAATTATGCTCTATTTTCCCCCAAATTCCTTAAATTGCCAAACCCCAAACTTCTTACAAATTACCATAATATTCTCAAGTCCAAAAACCCAAAAAGCACACATATTTGTATCCATATATTACATTACTAGAAGCTCAATAAAATTCACAAATCATGCCAAGAACAACAGTAGAAAAAGAAAAAGAACATTGAAAATTCTAAGCTTCTATTATCCTATATCTGCCTCCTTGATAATTAATTAACAAACCTCCACTTGAAGCCAACCTAAAAGAAGCTTCACCAAGCCCAAGGCATTGGTAACAAAGGGGTAAAAAAAAAAAGTAATTGATGACAGAGGCAAAACCCATGCACCCTATCAACTGTTAGTCCTGAGAAAACTTCAAACACAAAACCCAACATTATAATACCAAATATACTAAACAAAGCACATAGAATATATTTTTTCATTGAAAAAAAATAGCTCAGAATACCCTCCTCAAGATTTAATTCAGAATATAAAATATATTTTTATAAACTGCAAGCATATCTGATATTCTACAAGAAAACAAAATCTTGTAAATACCAGAAAGTATCTTGCAATGTTTTTTTTTTTCTTTTAAGAAAATACATTTTTTTATATTCTAAGATAAATTTCAAAGAGGATACTCAAAGCTAAGATTTCTCCTATTTTTCATAATATTTCTTTAATTTCCTTCAACTTACCATTTGGAGATTCAACAGTATCATTCCTTTCAGTAATCTTTCTACCATGATGCTCCCCCTCCTGCTCCTCCTCCACCTCCATTACCGCCGCCGCCACCGCCGCCGCTTCCCATTATACCATTCCAAAACAAAGTAGGATCTCCATGTCCTTGCACTACACCTTCATGAGAACCATTACTCATGCTTACTTGTTTCAAGTCTTCAAAAGGAAACAAAAGCCTTCCATCTCCTTCCTCTTGCATGCTTCCACCATAGCCACTTGATCCACCAACTCCATCCAGTGGATGAAGCTTCATGCTATTAGAAGCTGGTCTCATCAGCTCTTGAAACCCAAAACCAGCTCCAAATAGTGATGTCGGCCCCGGCGGCATCGCTGCCGGCACAAATGGTCCCAATCCTCTCGCAGAAATCCCATTCCTCAACAATTCCAGGGCTGACATAGAACCACCAAGCTCATGACCGCCCAAACTTTGGTTTGGAAAGGAAAGATTAAGGTCATGTACTGATCCTCCTTGGTAGAATTTAGAGCTTCCAAGACTATGATTAATCATGTGCTCAGAAGGATGTAGATTTGTTGAAGAAGATGAAGGAAGTGTTGTTGTTGGTGTTGTGGAGGTTAAAGTTGGAGTTGGAGTTGAATTAGAGGAAGTGGAAGATGAACAAGAAGAAGAAGAAGAAGAGGATCTTTTGTTCTTCCTTGAGCCACCCCCAACTGGAACATTTCTTAGAGAACCACCTTCAGTCCAATACCTTCTACAAGTCTTGCAGAAATACCTTGGCTGTGTTAGACTATAGTTGTTATAGTAACAAAACTTAGTGTTTGTGGAATTGCATCTTGGACAGTTTAAGGATTGTTCCTTGTGAGGTCTCACCCTCGATCTCTCCACTTGGATTTGTGCTTGCCTTTGGTTGGTTTCCACTACTGATCCCTTCACCACTCCTATTCCCTGAACATTATATCAAATAAATAATAATTAGATAAGCAGTATTCGAATATATATGAATATGAATGAGATGAGGAAGAGAAAGTAGGGGGGAGGAGAAGGTAAAGGGGAAGATGATTAAAGTGAGGAGAAGGGAAAAAAGAAGAAAGAGATTTATAAGTATAACTTTAGCTTTGCACATCACAAGAACAAAACAAACTTATACCCTTTTCATGACACTTCTTGCCTTTTATCAAAAAAAAGCTCAAAAGGAGAGATGGGAGTGAAAGGAGAAAAAGGCCAAGGGAAAAGAAAAGAAAGTGCTTTAGAGGATTGCAAAGTTTGATTGGGCAAGAGGCCATGGGAAAAGATGGGCATGGCAAGAGAGAGAAAACTGGTTCACAAGAGATTGGTAAAGTTGACATGAGATCTACAGAATCAATTTTTTTTTTCTTCCATGGAAATAAAACACAGAAGAGACTTACGAGTACAGACGAAGAAATCATGAATGAAATTTGATCAAGAGCTATATACAGATCAGATTCACATCATCATCAGGACAAGATAGAGATCAGATCTCTGTGTTTTGTTAATTAGTTACCTGTTGAGGCCATTGAACTGTATCCATGCAGATGCCCCTTGAGAGTTTTTTTGTGTTTGATCTCTGTAATATTAGGATAGCGCTTCGATCTCCTCTTATTCTTGATCCTTGCTAGCTACTGCAGGGAATGTTTCTTGACGGTTTAGTGGAGAATCTTTGTTCCTTACATATCAAAAGAAGAGAGAGAGAGAGAGAGAAAGAGAGAGAGAGATAATGGTATGTTGTATATTTTATGCTTATTAAATTGTTAGCTGAAAAAGTGGGGGGTGCTACAATAATATAAAATATCAGTAATAGTCTGCAGCTGTGTATAACATTTATGTAAAGCCATTTTTGATACATGAGGAAAAAATTTAGTCAAAATATTCTAAATATTATATATATATATATAATTATTAAATTTAATACATTAAAAAATCACTTATATAGTTATATGTATGTAGAGAGGCATGCCAGTCCAAACCAAAAGATAGAAGAACAGTAAACAAGTAGGCTTCTATTTTGGCAGTCCATGCAGCTAATGGGACCAGGAATATTACCCACACTAATTATGCCTAATTACAGGTCATTAATTCTTAATTATATCATTTATACACCATAAGCCTTTGATCAAAATAATTACTGAGAAGCACAGAATGAAAATACACGTTGATGGTGAGAGCTTCCAGCTTTAGGCAAGCTGTGGGGTTCTCTTGTCTGCTACAAATTTGTACTTGTTTCAAATCTGTGAGAATAGCTTGTGAATAATTAATTGATGCCTTGATTTCAAAAGTTTTTTGAAGTATAGGGAGATGGGGAAGAGAGAGAGAGAGAGAGAGAGAGAGCTCATAGTATGGTGACATAATTTAATTTGTGAAACAGTCATTTTGATTCACCTTATGCCACTATGTGCATGAAATCTCATGAAAATATAATGCAACCAAATAAATTTATATATATAATAAATTGTGATTAAGTTTAATCACACAATTAGTAATAGTTTTTATGGAGAATTAAGGACAATTACACAAATTATTGATTTAAAAATAGATGTTATATATAGTTATGAAAAAAAGATGACGAGAGATAAACTAATAAAGAGAGGTCAGATTATGGAGGAGGGGGGAGTAAGAATGACTATATAGCACAACCAAACGTTCTGTCCTACTGCTTGTCAATTAGCCTGCTATGAAAAATGATTTTGATCATCTAATACTATTCCTAAAACACATGAGTTACCAAAAGACCAGCCAAAATATTAACGTTCGTTGAACCAATTAGAGCCATCTAAAATTCATCACTTCATATCGAAAGTTGCACATAAAGATAGCATGTATCAAACAATGAGCAATATAATCAACCTCATATGATAAATCATTAATAACCGATAGTAAGACAGACTCCAACCATAAAACTAAGATGAGAAAACAATTACAATCAAGATGCAATATGTCGTTGGTTGTTTGACAAAGTATGAATGCAAAACAACAATATGTTACAAAAGTGTAGAACAGTGTGTTAAGAAAATAAAACGAAGTTCTTTAACGATTCAACGAGAGCACACTTAATTAGATTTTGATAACATAAAAGATAAACCTTTATTAATGCCTATGGATTGCGGTGAATTAATGGAACACATGAGAAGGGGCTAGCTAGAAATTCTAATATGCCTCTTAATTAATCATAATTAATTAAGACACAATAAAAATAGAACATGTATTTAAAGTGATTGACCCAAAAAAAAAAATGAAAGCTTTGTGATGCTAAACTTTCACACTATATATAGCTCTAAAAAAAATTGTTAGAGTCATTCTTTGATTTCACCATTAGGCCACAATATTCAAAGTTGAAAGTGAAAGAAGATGCCCTTGCTTTATCGAGTAGGCAATCTTACTCAGATTTCTATTACTTCATCTTAATTATTATAAAGAAACTTTCTAATTTGAGTGTTTTCCCTCTTGTTATTCTTTTGAGTTGATTTATTTCTTTTAAATTCTATATTTTGACATTTTGATTGGAATATTTGTTGTTATATTATGCACATAAACTAAAAGATCTATAAAGCTTGATTAATATAAACTATTAGCTGCAATTATTTAAAAATTTATGATCAAACACACTTCAAAATAATCACAATTGGATCGATCAGCTTTTAATCATATTGTTTATTTTTAGACATTTGAGCCATTAAGGTAATCTCTCACGCACAAATCACATACGCAAGCTTCGAACCCAAGATCTCTTAATTAGTAGCTAAAGTCCTCAACCAATAGACCAAAATGAGCTGTGTATGTTATTTACATATATGGAGAATGTTTGTGAATCTAATTGATTGGAGCTAAAGATAACTTTTAGGCTATGCTTTGCCCCACAAAACAAAAACAAAAAGAAAAATAAATTATGAGTAAAACTTTTACTAGCAAGAGCAATATTCCAACTTATTGAATGCATGACAAAAAGACCTCATCAAAAATAGTGTTCTTAGCAATAATGCTTATTGAGAAGGAAGTGGTACTAAAATGTAATATTCAGAGCAATAATCTTTCAAATATTATGATAATATTTTTTTCTCAAAAAAAATAAAATTTTATTTCAATGTCAACTAAGTACAACAATACAAAATATTTCAAAAGAAAGCAACAATTAAAACTAATCTCCACCTAGCAAATGAAAAGCTCCAGCTCTACAGTAAACATTACTTTATTTTTTCTACAGTAAACATTACTAAAAGCTTCATTTGGGATGGCTTTCTCACTGCTTCTTAAAATGACTTTTTAATTAGTACAAAAGTTAAAATTTTTGTACTCAAAGTCGTTGCTTTAAGAAGCAGTAAAAAAGTCATCACAAACGAAGCCTAACGAAGCCTAAGACTTCATTTGGGACAGCTTTCTTACTGCTTATTAAAGTAGCTTTTTGGAATAAAAATTAAAATTGTAAGGTCTTAGAAGCATACAAAGCCAACCTAAGTAAAAAATCTTAAGGTCTTAGATAATATGCTTAGAATAAAAAAAGATTAAGAAGAATAGGCCAAAAAATCCATCAGAATAACCATCCATAGCAGCCCCCCACAATAAAAGAAAACGAACTGAGATAAGCCCAACAGGAAGATGAAAAAGAAAGCAGCTTCTCACAGCCTGAAACAATTTAACTCTATGAAAATGAGGGGAAGAGAGTACTTCAGACGCGTCATAATAAATTCAGCCATATAAGACAACCCAACATTAGCTGAATAACTAAAGTTGGCTACCAACAGCTTATAAAGAGAAAGGCGACGATAATCAATCAATGATCCAAAGAAACAAAGCAACCAAAGCCATAAGAAACCTAATTTAAATATGCACTCATTCCAGACGTGAAGGAGATTTTAAGTTAAAGAAAACTCATAGATTTGAAGGAAAAATTATTATGTGCAGACACCGGACCGTCCGGAGGCGAATCAGAGCGCGTCATGTTACTTTTTTGTTGTGTACCGCAGCTGTGTACCACTGTTGTGTACCCGGTGATGCGCCATAAATTGATGCCAACGACCACCACCAATGACCATTAACGTGTGAATATCATTGTTCAATATATAGTTGTTTCTCGACAATTATTGTCCGATTATCATCGCTTACCAACATTATCTGATTATTGTTGTCTGATTGTTATCGCCTGAACATTATTGCCAGATCCTCATCATCCGCCACGAACACAAACATCCACAATCCCCCAACTAACACATCACTAGCTAATACTAACATCCATTAACACACATTATTTCTCTACTTCATTCTACTCTCATAGGAGGTCAAGTCGGCAATCTAGACTTTATAATAATATCTTTTTTCAATTATAGAAAAGAGCATGCTTTTATAATATTTATCTTATAGTAGTTGATTTTAGTTGGCACCATAATTTTTCACATTCTAAATTTTTCGGATAAAAATTAACCCTTACGGCCTTTTATTATTTTATCTCATATAAGTTTTTATCGGTGCGTGTGAAACTTTATGCAATATCACAATAATAATAACAATAAATCTCAATCCATCACAATAAATTTTCTAACATGCAACATATGCATTATCCACAAATATAAAAGATTATAAATTACATAAACCTTAGTCATATTATAATACAAATTTCCTCAATTCTTAGTCAAGTTCTTCAAGCCATTGAGAACTTTAATGATCAGAATTTGATCCTTAATAACTTTTGAGACATTTAAATCAATATAATTATATGGATACTATCATACTAGAAATATTTTATAGGACATGCTAATTTGAACCAGTCAAACAAAATCGGGATATGATATGAAAACTTCTTTAGGTTTGAAAAGGTTGTAAATCAAATAATAGATGATAAGTGGATCGATCTAAAAATATATGAGTTGTTGGTCGTAAAAGATTATTCATTTTAGACTTGATTCTAACGAAAATAAAAAAGTAAGGTTCATATCATGTAATTAATTATAAGTGTATAATTGTATTGGAATAATGGATTGGCAATTGAAATAATTAATGCTCAATGAGAGATTGTGTTGTGGCCTGTCGATCGAAGGAAGCAATTTCTCCTGGCGATTACGTGCTCGAATCCCCTAATCTGGTGGAAAATTTTAAAAAATGTTCAATCAAATCAATGAAATGCCCTAAGGAAGGATTTTTCTTGCAATCATATCATGAGAAATAGTGGGACGAAAAGATTTTTCTTCCCAATGCTTCATTCTGCGCCTACGCGTTATCTGCCTGCCTAGTCTGAGTAGCATCCTTCCTTTCTCCTTAGTTTTTCTTGTGATTTTTTCTACCTTCAGCCGATTTTTCGGTTCGAATGGCAGGTAAATCACTTGAGTGACATGGGTTTTTTGGGTGGCAAGTCGCATCCTCGTTCTTTCCGGGATGCTTTGTCCTAGTTTCTTCCTCGCTAGATTATCCTGCGCTTAAAATCTCCTCGCACCATAGCTTGTCGGCTTTGTTGATTTTCGGTGAGGAAATGCATGCGTTAGCGCTTCCTTTTGAATTTTCGTAGATTGAAAAGTTTTCTGGGTGGCGTCTGCCATTAATGTGATTCAAAGATTTTTTTCCAACTTGAAATTGTTTGGTGACTTTTATGTTACTCTGCTAATCAAAAAAATGTCTTGATCAAGTTAGTGAACGATTTAAACTACTGTAGAATTTTCTCTCATCGATCATATTTTGTGAAAAATTGTTTCATGAAGTTGTTCAAGTGGACTCCTCTTTTTTATGTTAATGTGGAATCC